GTTCCTAGCACGCACAGAAGGAGCTGGCTTACAACCTCCTGTAACTCCAGCTCTCCCGGAGCCCACAACCTTCAAATCCTCAGACATCTGCACTCTCAGGCACCCCACCACCATCACTCACACACACACACACACTGAAAACATAGAAGAGTAAAACTTTAATAAAATGGCAATACAAAGGAGATGCATTTTAAATCCAGCTGCATGTGTGGAACAAAACTGTTAAAAGAAAAACTAAGTTTAAGTAGCTTTTGATGAGCATGGGCTCGAAAGGTGGTCTGCCACTAACTCGTGTCCATCCACCACTAGCTGCCTTACTGTCAATCTTGCTGCACTGCATGACTGCAATGTTTAAAAGTTATGTTAAGTTTGTCTGTTTGGGTCAAGGCCCCAGACCACAGTCCACCCCCTTTCTTCCTCTGGTTTCAAATGAAGAAGTCACTCAGGTGATGTGATTAATCTATTTTGTTTACTTTAGAACCAGGTAGGATGTTAGCACCACTATCCAACTCCATGACCCTGGCACAGATATGCATATGCCAAAGCAGACAGAAGTCAGCTGTGCTACTATTTAGGGTACAGATAGGTTCATGGACATGGGAGATGATGAACACATGTTAAAATTACAATGCTTTAAAATTTTTATCCCATTTTAATTTATTGAGAGAGAGATGTGTGTGTGTGTATGTGTGCACGCGTACATATGCAACAGCACATTGTGAAGGTCAGAGGACAACTTTTGAGAGACACTTGTCTCTTTCCACCATGTGTGTCCCATGGACTGAACTCAAGCCATCAGGATTAGTGGCAGGTCCTTTTATTCGATGAACCACTTTGCTGACCCTATTCAATACCATCAACTTAATGAGACTGAAAGCAGCTCTTTACCCCTTGATTGCAAGCCCAAAGTGACCTACAACTTCAAGTTCCTGCTGCAGAGCCTTTCCCACTAGATGCACTAACCTTAAAACTGTGAGCCAAAATAAACTTTCTTCCTCAAGTTGCTATTATCAGGGTGTTTTATTACATCAACAAGAAAAGCAACAAAACAAGATCTGAAAGAAACTCATCCCAGAACAGAAGAGGACTGACACAATAGAAAACTATCTCTAAAGACAAATGAAAATACAAGGTAAACAGGGGCATATTATGCAACACATGTTGGGGGGCGGGTAAAAACATATCCTAATAGTACTTACTTGCTTATTTATGCATACATCTGTTCCCTCAGCTTTTATTGATCCTTCACAGGGAACTGGGTGACTGACTCACAGATGTAGCCTGAAGATTTGTGTGAAGTCTACTACTCAATTTAAGCAATAAACTTTGACCAGCAAGGCAGCAGTGTATGGTGAGCTGGATGTCCTTAGTGTAAAACATTTTACAAAGTAGGTGGTAGTCCCAAGAGTAAATATCTGCAGGTAACTTTAGAACTGTAAGGTAGTTTCCTCAAGCTATTTTTCTGTTCCAAACTTTTCATTGCATAGATGTGTAAACTCAGGGTACCAAAATCAAACAACTTGCATAAAGTATACAGTGAAGGAGACGGAATTAGACATCAGATACCCAGTATCTACTCTGTGACTCTGTTATTTTATTTGCTCATTTGGGTAAAAGAGAACCAGGTAAGTGTGGACACATTATAAGATATCATGATCTACCTAAAAGTTTTAAAAGTACAAAACAACACCTTGGGACAACTAATACAATGTTTGACAAAAAGCTTTGCATATCCCAGAAATTGTACATGAGTAGCATGTTCCCATTCAACTCTCCTGAACTCACTGAGAATAAACAGTCTCAAATAAATTTTTTATTTTATTTATTTAATTTTGTTTTGTTTTTTGAGACTGGGTTTCACTTTGTATTCCTGGTCATCCTGGCACTCACTCCGTAGACCAGGCTAGCCTTTGTTTCCTGAGTGCTGGGATTAAAGGCGTGTGCTATCGTTGCCTAGCTCAAATTAATTTTTTAAACGAATGTATTGCATAAGAAGACTTGTCAAATATAAATACGAGCTCATAATTCTTTAACTAAAATCTATGAGTTGGGAATTTAAAAAGTTACAGTAGGTCCTGGTTTTACAGGACGACTATCTCAGTGACTCAGGAGACTGAGGCATGAGTACCACAGGTTCAAGGTCTGCTTGAACTACAGAGTGAGTTCAAGGCTAGCCAGGACAACTTTGTGAAACCCTACCTCAAAAAAAAAAAAAAAAAAAAAAAAAAAAAAAGAATCTGAAAGAAGGGGAAAGCATTAGTAAGTAGTCTGGGAATATGGCTGGGAGGTAAAGTACCTGCCCAGCACCATCTGAGGCCCCGGCTTCATTTCCCAGCAGTAGTAAAACAAGAAAAAAAAGTTATAAATACACAAACCATTATAGAAAACATCACATGTCAGTGACCAAAAACAGCACACAGAGCTCAAACCTACTAATGTTGTGATGAACACAATACAACACATAGGATAAAGCCTACACATGCCATTGGTTTGCATTCTTTTATTATTATTATTATTATTTTACTACCAAGGAACTTTTTTTTTTGGTTGTTTGAGACAGGGTTTCTCTGTATTGTTTTGTAGGCTGTTCTGGAACTGGCTCTGTAGGCCAGGCTGGCCTCGAACTCACAGAGATCTGCCCGCCTCTGCCTCCCGAGTGCTAGGATTAAAGGCGTGCGCCACCAACGCCTGGCTACTAAGGAACTTTTGGTTTTCTAGCTTTCTGAAAATAAGATTTAGAAAAGGGATTACAGACTATTATTTTTCCAAGACAGGGTTTCCCTGTGTAGCTTTGTAGACCAGGCTGGCCTTGAACTCACAGAGAGACCCGCCTGCTTCTGCCTCCCAAGTGATGGTATTAAAGGCTGGGCCACTGGCCTTCCCCCTTAGTTTTTGAGACAGAGTCTCTAACTGAATCTGGGGTTCACAGACTCAACTAGTCTGAATGGCCAGTGAGGCCCTGGGATCCACGTGTCTACCCCTTCTCAGCCTGGGATAATAGGTTCACACACCTAGGTCAGGCTTTTTATGTAAGTGCTGGGGATCCAATCCAGGCCCTAATTATTGCAAGGGAAGTAATTTACTGATGAAGTCATTTGTCCAGCCCACTAATTTTTTAATGAGACCAGAAGAAACAATCCTAGCAGGTAAGATTTTGGCTTTGAAAAGGTCTCAAATCCCTTATGGACTCATTTATATATGCCTCCAATCCAAGGTCCCCCTGCCTTCACCTCCTGAGTGCTGGGATTAGAGAGGTGTTCACTATATCTGGCTCAGAGGTAGCATTTATATCCCAGGTTCGGGCTAAGGGTTTGTTTTCAGTTAAGGAATACAACATAGAGGAGTATAAGAGCTCACAAAATGATTTAAAGGGCATAAAATCTTCCTTACTGAATTTGAGTTTCTAAGTGGAAGGAAATAAACTTTAATCTACTGGAGGTAACTACGCTCCCTTTGGGACAAGTATACATAGAAAAGGGGATTTTGAACACACTGGTAGGGTCTACTAGCCTCTGGCATAAATGAGTTTTCTTTCCTCCACTTCCCATCTCCATTTTGTTTGTCACTGTTCATTTTTTCTTTCTGGACCAAAAAAAAGTTTTTTTAAATAAAATTTTTGCTGAAGACTGCAATAATCAATTTTTTATTTTAATTGTGATTATAATCGTTTGGGGATGTTGCTTTACATCTCGAAAGTTGGGTTACATTTTAACTGAAACAATTGGATTGCTCAATTTATGAGTTAACATTCAGCAAGTGTTTATGGAGGGAGAGTATACTTCATTCTAAAAATGGAAATAACATGTTGAACAAGAAATAATCCTACTAATCTTGGCTACTATTTCAATAAGAAATACTTTCTCAAAATTTCATAATCCATATAAAAAGAAATCTAACTAGTTCGATCTTACAATACACCAGTACATTATGTAGTGCAAATGCAAATGAGAAAAAAAAAAGCAAAACCTAGCCAGTTTATTTTTGTCTTGCGGGAGAAAAAACCCCTAACAGTCTGTGTTGGACCGCTCAGCGATTTGCATTCCTAAGCACCACAAACTGAAATTCTTTTATTGAATAATTCCTTTCTCCAGCATACTAGTTCGCCCCCACCCCCATAGCACGCTAACAGCATTCCGCCAGAGCACAGTCGTTTAAGGCCACTTAGGAAACCCCACAGAACCGCAGTCCAAAATGCCAGTCATGATTCCTGCAAGAAAGGGTCAGAAACTCCAAAGCGTTGTCCCAGGCCACGGAAACGATCGACCCAAAGGACTCCCAAGGAATAGGATGTCCTCCAGAACGCATTCAGTCCCGACGTCCCATACACCACATGACCTTCCTACGAAGGCAGTTCTTAAAACTTAGCAACTCGAGAACTCCCCTCCTCTGAAGTTAAGAGGAGGCAGGGCTGCTGAGATGCGCAGGTCGGCTGCTCGGTGCCACCCCGGGTCAAGGCTAACCACGTACGGCGCTGTGCTTGTCTTTCGCTACTCCCCTTACCGTGAGCAGATCTGAGAGGGAAGCAAGGAAAAGCCCCTGGCCTCCGAGGAGGGGTTTAGGGAAGGGAGGGGCAGCTCCGTGTGTGGTGACCCTTTGTGAACACGTACGGTGGCGCCGCGGCCGGGAGAACGAACTATGGCAAGCGGCCGCCATGATGGCTGGCCAGTGAGGACCACACGCAGGTCACTGGGCCTGCGCGCACGCGGCCGACAAGCGACCACTCCTTCCTCAGCCGCGTAATCCCTCCGCTGAGGGCCGCGCACTAATTTTAATCACGCCCCGCCCCCTGGCCGCTGGCGTCACCTCCGTCACTCGGGCGCTTTCCAGCAGCTTCTAGAACCGTCCCCTCCCCCGCTCCCCTCACTCACACTTAGCAGGCTCTGCAGCTATGGGCCCCGCCCCTGCGGGCGCCGCAGTTCCGACTGCGCCTGCGCCTGCAGGGAGCACAAACCACGCCTCTGCGGAGCCTTGCCGGAAGTGCTCTCGTCTTCTCCTTCCCCGGCCTTACCCGCGTGCTTTCATGCGGGACGCTCTTCAGGAAGGTGTTACACGGGGGAGGCTCTTTGGCCGCGGACGCCCAAGCGGAAGTTGTTTTCCTAGCGGAGACGGCGGTGGGGGTGGAGTCGTCCGAGGGGAACGTGGGTTGAACGTTACGGGTAGGTGGTGTGGAGCTCAAGCTGGAACAGGAGTTCGGACCGATTCTACACGAAGAAGGGGTGTGCTTCGGGCCGGTAAGGGAGAGAGTTTCTCTGGAAGTAGAAATTGGCACGGCTGGAGTGCTCGGGGTGGTGGGTCGTTGGCACGGTGAAAGGCTGGGCTGGGAACAAGGTTGAGGTGGGAAGGATGGAGGTGCAGACTGAGATCAGGGTTCGTTTGAGCTTAAAGAGGTAAACGCTGAATAGAAACCAGAGTTTGTGTCCGCCCCACGGAAAGCGTGGAGCTGGGCAAGGGTAACGGATCGCCGCGCCTCTTGGGCTTCCCTGGTTGTCTTTGGAAGCTCACGTCGCTTGGCCCTGTCCGTCCCAAATTCGGGAAGGTGGGTTGGGTACCAAGCAGAACTGTACTCTGCAAACCGACCTTGCCTCGGATTTAAGTCTGTTGGCCTTGCCGGGAGGTAAAGCTCCGACGGGTACAAGGCCTTCTTCGAGAACCTATTATAAGTTTTCACATTACACATGCTGTAAGTTAAATTTAATAAATCATGTCCCTCTCGTGATCGCCTGCTAACTGAATCCATTCTAGGCTGAATACTCCCATTAGGGTTTCTGGAATGTCCGTGGCTTACCGACATCGAAGGGAGCTGGGTGTGAGGAAAAGTGCTGGGGATGAAGGCTGGAAAACGTGGTTGGTCTTCCCCTGGTAACACGCTCATGTTGTAACCTTTAGGTTGTCTTGAGCTGTTTGGGTGGATTAAGTAGGTGATTTGAAGCTGAACTGTCCTTTTGACAGTGATTCCAATGGAAAGAGAGGCGGGTTCAGACATTTCCAAGGCACCATCTTCTATGTGTACATGAGAAAGATGAGAGTAGCAGAGGCAAACTCTTCTAGTGTGTTTGGAAGCCCCAAAATGCCATACAAGAGAGGGGCAGCTTAGTTTTGGAGAAAAGATATTGAAGGTAGCTGCTATGGGACTAATTGAAGTGTCAGAACCACCCCAGGATTTTGTATATAAGATGGAGTTAAAGACCTGGAAAGCCCACTTCTGGTGTTTTAAACATGAATATTCTTTGGCCGAGGGGTATTGTCTTAATATTGCTTGGTGTTTCTACCCCTGTCTCTCTGGGTCTCCCTCCCTCCGTTCCTTCCTTCCTTATTTTAAGCAAGTTCTCACTATGTAGCCCTGCCTGGCCTGGGACTCACAGAGATCCATGTGCTGGAATTAAAGGCTTAGAGGCGTGTACCACCATGCTGGGATGATAGAATATGCCGAGCCTTCCTATTGAAATGGTGAATGATAGGATCAGGAGAGCAGTTTTGAAGGATTCTCATTTCTGCTTCCATGTTGAAAAAGAACCATTCCAGACAGTTTCCTAGATCCTCAGGTAGATAAAAAAGTTTCATCAACAACTTAATTGAGGAGCCTTCAGGTTTCTCTTCTGAGAGTTAATGCAGATTCACAGAAGGTGCACTGGCTGTTTCCCTCATCGTGAAGCAGCATCACATGCTAACTGTAACTTAGGTGTTAGCATGGCTTCATTTACTTCTTAGAACAAATCTAGGTACATAGCATAGGCTTTTACCACTCTGTTTTTTTTTTTTTTGGTTTTTTTGAGACAGGGTTTCTCTGTAGCTTTGGAGGCTGTCCTGGAACTCACTTTGTAGACCAGGCTGGCCTCGAACTCACAGAGATCCGCCTGCCTCTGCCTCTGCCTCCCGAGTGCTGGGATTAAAGGCGTGCGCCACCAACGCCCGGCTGGCTTTTACCACTTTGGATCATTAAGGTTGACTTTCCTATGTCCTGTAATCCTTTTTTTTTTTTTTTTTTTTTTGTGAATAGGCTATGAGTAGAACCAGCTAAAGGTTGTAAATATTGTAGAAATTGAGATTCACTAATACTGCTCACTTGCCCTCCCTCCCTCTCCCTCTCTCCCCAAGTTTTGTAGTTACAGGTGTGGGAAACAGACTTTCACACTGCATGTATGTATTTGTGTGGGTGTATGTATCTTTTTGTTTGTTTTGAGACAGAATTTCTCTGTATGGCCCTGTGGCTGTTTTAGAACTTGGCTCTGTAGACCAGGCAAAATTTAGGTTTTGGCAAGATTTATGCTTGAGGTTTCAACTCTGTGTCTAAATGTTAACCTCTCTCTCTGCCTAAAGGTCTTTTAGATCTTATTTTGTTGTATTTGAAGTTCATACTTAAACGGTTTTTTTTTTCCTTGTATTGAGCTGTGTCTAAGAATTTTACTCTCCTGAATCTTAAAGGGAGTCATCTCTGTGGTACTATACCCAGTGCATGCTTGTCACATGTAGTTTGTACTATAGAAGGACTTAGTTTTTGTTCTGATACAGATCATTTACAAAGAGCATATTATTTTGTTGGTAACTTTGTTCTATCTATCGATCTATCGGTTTTTTCGAGACAGGGTTTCTCTGTGGCTTTGGAGGCTGTCCTGGAACTAGCTCTTGTAGACCAGGCTGGTCTCAAACTCACAGAGATCCACCTGCCTCTCCCTCCCTAGTGCTGGGATTAAAGGCGTATGCCACCAATGCCCGGCTTGTTGTTATTTTTTTTTTTTTTTTTTTTTTTTTTTTTTGGTTTTTACGAGACAGGGTTTCTCTGTATTGTTTCGGAGGCTATGGGTCCAGCCCGGCCTCGAACTCACAGAGATCAGCCTGCCTCTGCCTCCCGAGTGCTGGGATTAAAGGCGTGCGCCACCACCGCCCGGCTCTGTTGTTAACTTTTTAAATGTAGTATTCTGCTAGTTATAGTTGCAGGCCTGGTCTACATATATAGCAAGTTCCAGGCCAGCCAGGGCTATTTAGTGAGACCCTGTCTTCAAACAAAAAAGTATTCCCAACTGGTGAAGAATTAGTGGTGGAAAACTAGGAAGGGATAAAATGTATGGTTCATTTGTTCTTTTCTTTCTTTGTTAGAACAGTAGACTTGGAAGGTTCAGGTTCTTTGTAATACTGGCATGGTTGCATCAAACGGCACATAGACTAAAAAGCTTAGATCCTCAGACTTAACTGTTGACTAGCTTGCTTAATCAGTTACTGCCTCTATGAAAAGTTGTAATTTTCTGTATGTTAGGAAAATCACCCTGTGATTACTCTGCCTTCTCCTCTTCCATTTGTAAATATCCAAATACATTTAGGGACTTTCAAGACCACAGTTTTAGAATGTTTATTTGAGAATTTGTAGCTCTCAAATACACAGTAATATCTTATAAAGTAGCAAAGCTCTCTTTGTAGAATAATAGGGTTTTTATTTAATTGTTTGTTGACTTTTTTTTTCCAGGATTCATTGAAAAATCCTTAGTGATATTGACATGTTCCAAGTGACATAAATTAGCCAATGACTCGGATTGATGGAGTCTCTGAAGATTGGAAATGGTTTGCCACGGGTTGGACCGGGGACTGATATAGGGATATCTTCACTCCCCAAGCTGGGGTACTTGGGAAAAGTTAGTGAACTTATTTTTGGCCTCAGTGCAAAATTGGTTTATTTTCCTCTTGTATTTGAAATTTAAATTATAAATGAAACTTAAATTTTTAAATTTCATTTTATGGATGAAGTCCTAAAAAATTATGTCTTCCACGGAAATCTTATAGCAATGGCGAAAGATTATTATAATTTGTTTACCTCTCTGTTACTGATGTGTGAAAGTAGAAATAATGCCTAGATCTTAGGCTTTCTATTTGAAAATATGGATGATATGTATTTTCCTTGGCAGTTAATGTTACCTTTTTCTTGTGAATGAGACTACTGCTATTTTTTAACTCAAAATTTAATATTTAAAACTACAAGTGTCTAATTTAGATAATAACTGTTAAGACTGTATGTGATTTCTTTTGTTTGCTGTGTTTAATCTTGCCAGAATCCTAGTGGGAAATAGTACATTTTTTCTGGTTACCTACCCTTCCATTTAACTCTTTGTAACTTAATGTAATTTAGGAAAGTCTTTTAATTTGTTTTATTTCTTTTTTAGAATTATGATTCAGCTAAAGTTACAACAGATGGGCATTGCCCTGCTTGTAGAGCAAAAGGAAAGCTAAACACCTTAAAAACTTACCAAATTAACTTCCAAGAATCTATCTTTTTGTGCGAGGATCTTCAGGTAAAGTACTAATGTTATATGGTATATAGGTTTCAGCCTTCTGCTTTTTCTTCATTGTTTAAATTTTACTCATTATTTTTTTTTAGAGTATAGACTGAATGCATAGGTAATATCAGTTTTTAAATATCTCTGACAAACAACTTTAAATAGTTTGCTATTTTCCAATTGGATTTCTAAATTATTGCTCCTTGCTGTTAACCTTGTGGGGATCCTTATTAGGTTTTTAGCATATAGTAGTTATTCCTTCCACCCAAACACACAGGGTCTCACTGTGTACCTCTGACTGTCCTTGAACTCACTTCAGAGGATCCAGGTTTTGTTCCCAGCTCTCATGGTGGGTCAGTTCCATAATTCCAGTTCCTGGGTGCATGGATATATATGCAGGCAAAACACTCATGCACATAAAATAAATAAAACCCCAAAATAAAAACAGTTAACCAATGTTAATCCCATAAAATATTTATTTTTAAGTTTATATATATGAAATATTTATATTAGGCTTTAGTCACTTAGCAACAAAACCACATATAGAGGTCAAGACCATCATTTTATGTGCTTGCAGTCCAGTTCACGGGTCCCTCTCTGAACCTAAGGACAGCAGAGGCATTAGCAGTGACTTTAGAGGACACTGAACACAGTGAAGCTACCCCAGTGTTGTATACCACACCACCTTTTCCATGGTGAGGCCCATAGTTGTAGGACGGCTTTGCTTTGATGTTGGCTTTTGGATTGTGATGCTTGGGCTTGAGGGTCCTGTGCATGAACAGTTTATACACATTTAATTCTCAAAATAATTATTTTGCAAAATAGGTGTTCTCTTTTTTAAACTAACAAAACAGATCTATAGGTTCTAGAAACAAGGTATTTCATACATCTGCAGCGGGAACTGGCAGAAGAGTCTCCTGTCTGTTATGTTAGATCATGTGCCTCTGGATTGACAGTCTAGGTAATAGGTGTGTCTCCAGTTGTCTCTGTCTCTGGTTTCTCAGTGGCTTGCTTACCTGGTTTCTTTCTTTCTTTCTTTCTTTCTTTCTTTCTTTCTTTCTTTCTTTCTTTCTTTCTTTCTTTCTTTTGGTTTTTTGAGACAGGGTTTCTCTGTGGCTTTGGAGGCTGTCCTGGAACTCACTTTGTAGACCAGGCTGGCCTCGAACTCACAGAGATCCGCCTACCTCTGCCTCCCAAGTGCTGGGATTAAAGGCATGCGCCACCTATGCCCGGCCTGGTTTCTTTATATTTTGTGATAGGTTTGGATTTGGTTGAGGCAAGCCTTATAGTCCAACTAATCTAGAATTAAAGTCTTCCCACTTTGGCCCCTGAAGTCCTAGGATTACAGGCAAGTGCTACTATTCCTGGCTCACTACTGATTTTTTTCATGATGTTATTCCCAGGTCAAGCAGGATTTAGAGACTCTCATGAGGTTTAGTGTCAGGTTAGTACTGACTTCACTGTACAGCACCGAACTGGTCTGTATGTTGAAAAAAATCGAAGTGCTCACATGGAATTCAGTGTGTGAAAGGAAATTTAGCACGTGTCATATACCTGCAGCTGTGAGATAAATTACCTGAGAAGGCCCTAGTTTCCTAGGCGATGGCTTGATTTAGTGTCCTTATTCTTTGGGTTGACCAGGCAAGGCTTATAGTAGTGTCTGCTGGAACAACCAAGTGCTAACCATAGTGCTCGATGCTGCTGAGGAGCTCGGTGCAGGCAGTCAGTTGGGATTCTTAGTTCTTCTGAGGCTCCAGTGTGATGAGACAGGACTTAGCAAGCTTCCCTATGTCTGATGAGTCCTGGTGTCCCTCCAAAGCTGGAAACAGCTCAGCACAGTCTGGAAGGTATGGCTCTTCAGTTTACTACAGGACACTAGCCTATCATGCCTGTGTTGAAGGCACAGATTGTTTATTTGTGACCTTTCAAGACAGGGTTTCCCTGTGTACGTCTACCTCCTATGGATCTGACACCCTCTTCTGACCTCTGGGTATCCGCATACACTGCATTCATTCAGACATAGATACACATAAGTAAGGACAATAAAAATAGATCTTAGAACATATAAGATACATATAAAGTACTTGGCACATTTTTTTTTTTAATGTAAAAATACGTTCCCAACTGGGCATGGTAGCACATGCCGTAATCCTAGCACTCAGGAGGCAAAGGCAGGTGGATCTTTGTGAGTTCAAGGCCAGCCTGGTCTACAAAGTGAGTTCCAGAACAGTCAGGGCTATTACACAGAGTAACCCTGTATTGAAAAAACAAACTTTCCCCAGTTTTAATGCTATAAGTTTCTTTTCTCCCTCAAAGTCACATGCATAGTCTTTCTTTACATTGTTGGAAATTTTTATTTACTTGACATATTTTTTTTATTAAAGCCAAAATAGTGTTTTCTTTTATCTTAGTCTACTGTAACTTAAAGACTTTCCCCCTCCCCCTCAGATTTCTCTATGCAACCCTGGCTGTTCTGAAACATATAGGCCAGGCTGGCCTCATACTCAAAGAGACCCCCCCCATTACTCTACTTCCCCAGTGTTGGAATTAAAGGCATATATCACTATGCCAAGCTTGCATGATTTGATGATGCAGATTAATTAGGGAAAATATTCTTTGGAGAGGGGCAAACTTTTATTAGTTACTTCTAGTTTTTTGAAATTAGGTTGTTAGAGATACTCATATAAATGCTAAAACTGTTTCATTACATAGGAATCTAAGGTAAAACTTCAACTGATTTGGGTTATCATTGAGGTTGGTTTGTTTTTTAACAATTTTATTTTTCCTTTCTAGTGCATTTATCCTTTGGGCTCTGAATCCCTTACTAATTTAATTTCTCCTGATTCGGGAGATTGTCACACTCAAAGTAAACCTCAAAAAAGAAAACGATTGGAAACCAACGCTAAGTCTTCACTTACTCCACTGCATTCTAAAAAGGCTAGAAATCACGTTGTCACTGATGGGGAACAGATTTTGAATGCTAAATACAATGGAAAAGTGTGTGGTGATACCTCATCAAACTTACCAGATAACACTGGTCACCAGAATCATGTCAGGACAGTTGCTTCCTCGGAGCAGAAGGAGACTTTGGAAGTTGATACCATGGACGTGGCTACCACAGAAGATCCTGCCACAGTTAGTGTCTCTGGAATGCTTCTCCAGAGTAAAGGATCTGACCTGGAAATGCCATCTGAGAGCAGATGTTTACCGTTTTGCCAGACTCTCTGTGTCCAGTGGAAAAACTCTCAGGCACTCTGCTGGCTAGACTGCATCCTCTCAGCCCTAGTGCACCTGGAGGTGCTGAGGAACACTGTCATGGAGGTGTGCTCCAGAGAGGAGTGTGTGTTTGGGAGGCTGTTTGAAACATACCAGCAAGCAGATAAGCTTCTGTACACCCATCACTTGCATGGTGTCAAAGGTTTGTATTGTCTTAAATTGGAAGGTGTCAGTGTCGAGTTTTGTCTTCCACTATGTGGAAAAGTCATTGTTCTATGTAGAGACCTGGGCAGGGTACCTAGGGATAGTGCCAATTACAGCACATGACTGGCCCCAAAGCTGCCTCTGAAGAAGAAAGGGGCAGTGGTATGTCTTAGCCCATCAAGGTAATAGTGATCATCATAGAATCTGTCAGTCAGATCTGAAGTCTATAGAGTGAAACAACCAGAATGATGTAGTAAATGACAGTCACCTGTAACCTCCACCATTGCCTTGACAGCCAGGGACATGCAGCTGACTGGAGCATCCTGTGTATGTATATATATTTACATATACATACATTTATTAATACAGATGGTGTGTTTTGTTTTGTTTTTGAGACAGTGTCTTTCTGTGTTGCCCAAGCCAGCCTGACTATTGCATTCCTCCTCCCTTAGCCTCTGGCATGCTCAATTACAAGCTTGCACTATTGTACCCTATTTTAATTTCTCTAAAATCGGATGCCATGAGCCTTAACTTCCAACCCAAAAAGCATTAAAGCACTCAAGCCTGTGAGAGGGCTCTGTGGGTGAAAGCGCTTCCACCAAGCTTGATGATCTGGTATCAGTTTCCAGAACCCGTGCGGTGGAAGAAGACAGACCCCTGGTGAAAGCATCCAGGCACACAAAAATGAGTGAATGAATGAATAGTAGAAACACATCAGTACAGTCTTCCCTTGGTATCTATGGAAGCTTAGCTTTAGGAAATCCTGCAGATACCATGGTCCTCTGTAAGAACTGGCATAATGCTTGTATAATGGGAGTGCATGTTGTCCCATGTACTTTGCATTTTAATGAACTTAGGGTTGATCTACTTAGGTCTGTTACCTATGTTGAAATCATGTTCAATGTTATTTTACTTTGTGATGCTGAAGTCAGTCTCAGGAGCTTGTACATGCTAAGACAGCTGTACGTACCTAAACCCATTCTAGATTACTTATTCTTAATGCTATGTAAATACTATGCAAATACTGATTATAGTGTGTAGGTAATATGATAAAGAGGTCTGCTTGTTTAGTACAGATGCTGTTTTTCCTCTCCCAAGTATTTTCAGTCAGTGGTTGGTTAGAATGGGATGCTGGGACCTGCTGGAGTAGTGGGCAGTGTCATTACTACTCCAGCAATGTATAAGATACCTTACCAGTTCATGTATTCTCTAGGATGTTTTCACATGGAGAGTTTTGCTAACTAGAAGAGATCTATCTGTTGCCCCTTTGTGTATGTATTGTTTTCATTCCCTCCTTCTGTGTTGATTGTCATTTTCTTATTTGGATGCATTTTCTTATATCTTTGCTGCCATTTTATGTCAGGTATATGTTGCTGATTCCTCTTCTAGTTTACAGCTTGTATTTTACTTAAAAAGTATTTTATGTCAGGCAGTGGTGGTGCAGTCCTTTAATCCCAGCACTGGGGAGGCAGAGGCTGGTGGTTCTCTGTGTGTTGGGCCAGCCTGGTCCACAGAGCAAGTTCCAGGACAGCTAGGACTACACAGAAAAACCCTGTCTCAAAAAACCAACAAAAGAATTGTTACACTTCTTTCTTTCCTTTAGAAGTCATAGTTTACTTTATAACATTGAAATTCTTTTACACAATTTTATTATGTGGCGGGGGGGTATGAAGTCTCTTGTTAATCTGATTTTGCTCCCACATAGGTTTTTTTGGTTTTGTTTTTGTAAATGATTTCTTTATTTTTATTTCATGTGAATTCATGTTTTGTCTATGTGAAGTTGTTGGGTCCCCTGAAGCTGGAATTACGGGTAGTTCTGAGCCACCATGTGGGTGCTGGGCATTGAACCTGGGTCCTCTGGAAGAGCAGCCAGTCCTCTTAACCGCTGAGCCGTCTCTCCAGCCCGGTTTTGTTTTTTATTCTTTGACAGATTTGCTATTGTGGTGGATTTGGAGGACATTTTGTGTGCGTGCTATGCATTGCTTCCCTGTTGTGTTTGCTATTATGAGTTCACATCTTGCAGATTATCCTAGAAGGGCATTGAATGTGCATATTAAAGGTTTTGCTGAGTGACTTTCCAAAAGAATTAATTGCGATAGCTTCTCAGGGCTGGAGAGATAGATACACAACAGGTAAAAGTACTGGCTGCTTTTTCAGGGTTAGTTCCCAACACTCACATGGTAGCTCTCATTTGCCTGTAATTCTAGTTCCGGGGAATCTAACACCCTCTTCTGATCTCCACAGTTACCTGCACACATGTGATATATATATATATATATATATATATATATATATATATCAATACACATATAAATAAAGCTTTAAGAAAGATTTAAAAATATGCTGCTCTTTTTTTCATAGAAAGTAAGTTTTATTGAGGAGGGGGAGTCGTCCCTGTCTGTCCCTTCAGAGGAACAGGGGGAAAGAGAGCTGCTGCTCTTTTTATTACATGGAAAAATATATCTCAGATTCCTTAACTACCTTTGGGCATAAATATTTAAAAGTTACGATTTGGTTAAGTAAGACCTTTTTGTTTGTTTTGTTTGTTTTTTCAAGACAGGGTTTCTCTGAGGCTTTGGAGCCTGTCCTGGAACTAGCTCTTGTAGATCAGGCTGGTCTCCAACTCACAGAGATCCGCCTGCCTCTGCCTCCCGAGTGCTGGGATTAAAGGCGTGCGCCACCAACGTTTTAACTTGAATTTGAGACTGAATTTTTTTTCATGTGACAGTCATTTGTGGGTTTTACAGTTTTTCACAAGCATTACTGCTTCTAGGTTGCCTCTTTTATATATAATTTCAGAACTTAGGTGCTGAGTAGATGACAGTTCCCTGATTTGAGAAGAGCAAAATTTGATGCTGAAATTTTAATTCTTTTCCTTTTAGTTTATATTAGCCACATACTGAATAATTAGAGTTTTCCTAATCTTGTTAACTGTGTGTGGCCTTTGTTATTCTGTATTGTAAATTTTCCTCCCTTCTCTCCCTCACTTCCTTCCCTCTCTCCCTTCTCTCCCTTTTACTTTCCAGGAACAAACGGCACAAGTTTTGTCTAATGTTCATTTCATTGAGGATGTAAGCTTTCTCTAGTGTGATGAAGCTGTAGAAATGATTTCCAAAGTTAAACTGGAATGCCAAGCGCTCATTGTTCTAACATGTGTCTATTACTGCATCTGTTGGTGGTTTGTGTGTGTGTGTGTGTGTGTGTGTGTGTGTGTGTGTGTGTGTGTGTGTGTGTGTGTGTGTTTCGAGACGGTTTCTCTGTATTGTTTTGGAGCCTGTCCTGGCACTCACTCTGTACACCAAGCTGGCCTTGAACTCAGAGATCCACCTGTCTCTGCCTCCCGAGTGCTGGGATTAAAGGCATGTACCACCAACACCTGGCTGCATCTGTTGTTTTTGAGAAAGGCTTTCCTTGGGGTTTCATCCAGGTAGTAAGGGCAAATGGTACTCTGCTGATGACAGGTGTCAATGGACTATATTATACCACAGGGGAGGCATGCTAAGACATGTTTTGCTTTTTGTTGCTGTAAAATGTACTGATAAACTTTCATTCTTATTACTATCTCAGTTTTTTTTTTCTGGAAAGATGCATTAATGAGATGTTTTGTTCTGGCTTTTTTTTTTTTAAAGGTGAAGATTGTAAAAAACTGAGATCAGAAATACTTGCAGAAATAGAGACCTCTCTGAATGGAGTTAGAGATGAAATTTTTATTAAACTTCAGCCTAAGCTTAGATGCACATTAGGTAAGTAGTTGTGGAGCTTGACTGATCCACTGTATAAATATGTACAGATAAGGAAATGCATTATTTTAGTACTTGGTGTACAATTCTTTTGGGGAGAATCTAGGTAGTGGTAGTTTAACTTAGCAGTCTCCCACTGGTTTACTTCACTGTTGTCTACCCCTGTTCTGTGCAAGTGTGCAGGCTAGTGTTCACCTCTTGCGTTCTCAAAGCCAGCCCAACACTTTGGGCTAACACTCCTGTTTACTTTCCTCTGGTAGCCTAATCCAGGCTCCTGTAAAAGTGTAAAGAGTTGGTATACAGTTGGCTCTTCAGCACTTTGAAACCAAATCTTCAGCTGCACAACACAAGACTAATTTATACGTTTTGGTCAGGAATATGTTAGTATATCATGCACATGTAACCAGAATTGTTAGGGTCTAAGTCTGGGTCCTGGGAACTCCAACAAGCTAGGCTCAGGCACCAGTGTTCAGTAGTCTATTGGACAGGAAATAGTGAAAAGTCAAGAAAAGAGGTTTGTTCACTCTGGCCCACTTCCAGGAGAGGAACAAGTGAAGCAGGGTAGTGACCTTCAGGGTCCCAACATCATTTTTAGGTGAGGGCAGGAGGTACATAACTAAGCAGTCCTGTCCATCAGTGATCCATCCTTGTGTGCACTTGGGTTTTTCCTGCAGGGTGGGCTAGCAAGTCGCCAGGTGGTGTGAACTCTCTTCATGGAAGACAAGCTCCTGTCTGTCAGGCACCAGAGCCTCAGCCTTTCCCTCCCCCCAGCACAAGATTCCTGAGGGAATTCCAGCTCTCTGATAGCAGGAAGGGGAGGTACAGTGACTCTTTAGGATGGCTTCATTCTGCCATATCCTCTCACCAGTAAAGAAGCAAGGGTGAACCTGCTCTGTCCACTATGAATATGGGAGTAGAGAGAGGCAAGAGTAACGTCTTAACTAACATCTCTGGCCAGGCCTATCCACGGTTCGTAGTGTTATGAAAAGGAAAACATGTGTTTTTTAATCTTGGTTTGGTTTTGTTTATCGAGGTGGGGTCTTACTAATTGCCCAAGCTTTCTTTGAACTCATGAATTTTTTTTAAAATTATTTATTATGTGTTCAGTGTTCTGCCTGCATGTCTGCTTACAGACAGATCTCATTGTAGATGGTTGTGAGCCACCATGTGGTTGCTGGGAATTGAACTCAAAACATCTGGAAGAGCAACCAGTGCTCTTAACCTCTGAGCCATCTCTCCAGCCCCTGAACCCATGAATCTTTAGCCTGAACCACTTGTAGTCAGACTTACAAGTGTGCACTACTATACATTATCTGTTAGTTTTCTGAGAGAAATCTGTTTATTTATTTGTCTGCTTGCCTACCTATCTGTCTGTCTGTCTATCTATCTATCTATCTATCTATCTATCTATCTATTGTTTTTTGAAGCAGTTTCTCTGTAACAGCTCTGGCTGTCCTAGAACTAAATTGTACACTAGGAGATCCACATAAGTTCAGATCAGCCAGAATGACACAGTGAGATGCTACCTCAAAATAATATGTTAGACGTGAAGATTTAGTGCTGTTGTTGTAAATTGTAAATTGTTTGCTTTCTTTGTTAATATTTATAGTAGAATTAAGATTTAAAGTATGGTGACTCAATCACAATTGTATACTAAATATCCACAACTCATGCAGTTGTCATTTCTAGGAGGCTGGTTTCTTTATAAGAAATGCATTATTTTGGGGTCTGAAGAGATGATTCAGAGGTTAAGAGCACTGGCTGCTTTTCCAGAGATCCTAAGTTCAATTCCCAGCAACCACATGATAGCCCACAACCATCTGTAATGAGATTTGGTGCCCTCTTCTGGCCTGCAGGGAGGCATGCAGACAGAACACTGTATACATAATAAATAAATAAATTATTTTGACTTACATTTTTACATAAAAATAGCAAGGACCAGGCATGATAGTGTACACCCTTAATCCCAGCACTTGGGAGGCAGAGGCAGGCAGATCTCTGAGTTCAAGGCCAGCCTGGTTTACATATGAGTTCTAGGACGTCCAGGGCTACATACTGAGACCCTGTCTCAAAAAAAGAAGAAAAAGCAATGGGGTTATATCACAAAGATGACTATTAAAATAGCCTTTGTAGTTGCAGATGTTTACAGCACATGCTTGGGTAATGAAACCTGTTGTCTACCTTCTGGTCCTTCTATTCTTCCATCAGTTGCTGTTCATGTTTTAGGCAGCTATAGTTCCAGGCTAGGGAAGAACAGGACCCTGAGAACAGGTTTGGTCTATGGAGGAGATGGGAAGCAGTCTGCGGTCTGTCTCCTGGGCCTTATAAGCCCTTAGGATGAGAAGGAAAGAAACCAGCTGGAATAGGGCTGTAAGAATGGGATTGCCTATTAAACAGCCTTCTTGATATCAAAGCTAACACAGTTCCATTTTTAAGACAGCAGAATCCCCACCGTCTCTAGTCTTGAAGTGGCAGTTTAATTGTGCAAGGATTGGACTAAAGGTTGAGATAAGTGGGGAGATTCAAAGCTGATCCTTTACCCTTGTCTATCAAATCTGCTGCGCTGTAGAGTTGGTGGGTCCAAATAGAAGCATTGTTTTAATGGTTAGGACAAATTCTGATGTAATTCTCTAATGTTTTCACTAACTTTCAGTATTTGTAGTAAACCATGTTCATGGTTCTTGTTTTAAAGTACAGGGATATAGTTCTGAGGACTTTTCCCTTCTGAGAGGAAGGCAGTAGGAGTCTCATGTGGTCTTCTCTTATGTTTTCATGACATTTAAAAAAGAGACTAGCATGGGAGCTGACTTTATGCTGGCTGTGCTTAAAGAGCTGCTCAGCCTTCCTCCAGATCCACTTTGATTGACTTACTCTGCCAGGCTGTGCTCACACTTAGGTGTTGTAAACTTGCAGAAGGACACTGTTGATCATTTGCGTTTCCTTTTATAAGTTGCCAGTTCCAACTTCTGATCTTTCTCTTTCTCTTCTTTACAGGTGAGATGGAAAGTCCTGTGTTTGCATTTCCTGCACTGTTAAAACTAGAACCTCATGTTGAAAAGCTTTTTACATATTCTTTTTCTTGGAACTTTGAATGTTCCCATTGTGGACACCAGTATCAAAACAGGTCAGTTTTGGGTTTTTTAATGTATTCTTTCTGCTGAGATGGTTTGTAACAGTGTTATTTAAGTAACACATTTTTCACCTATAGTATACTTTGTCTTGGCACATCTACCCTCAGTACACCCTCTCACCCCCACCCAGACAAGGTTACAGTATAGCCTGGGCAAACTTGCTGTGTAGGCCAGGTTGGTCAAGACTTGAGGTTTTCTTCCTTGTAATCCAGAATGGTAGAGGTAGAAGCATCTATCACCATGTCTTGTATCCCAACACATTTTTTTCCTTTTTCTAAGGTCTTGCTAATTAGCTGAGGCTGACCTCAAATTTGCCACTCTCTTGCCCTACCCTTCTGGGTTCTGAAAATGGAGGCATGGACACAATAGACCCAGCTGACTTCCACATCTTAAACTCTGTCCCCACTAAAGTTAAAAGAACAGTTTGTAATACAAGAAACTGTAAGTTGACTTACTGCTATAAATTAGTTCCAAAAAAAAAAAAAAAAATCCATGGCTTGAACAATGGCTAAAGGCTTTTTCTGTACTTTTTCTGTATTTCCTTAGTGCAAAGTTAGAAGCAAATGAGAATAGCACCCTTCATGCTCTGGAAGGTTCTTAGCTGAGCTTCTACTCACAAGTCCCTGGATCTGTTTTGTTTACCTTGTGTTAGAGACAAAGCTTTTGTTTGCTTTAGGCCTCTGTCATGGAGCTGCTCCTCATCTGTGGTAGCACCCAGCAGAGGTTACCTCTGTTTTCTGGTTCAGGAGAGCAGTTAGAGGGTAGGTAAGAACTTACATGCCATGCCCTCTCCTTAGCTGACCAGGGAAGATGCTAGCTGCCTATTAAAAAATGACCTGCCAGCTGGGCAGGGTGGCACTTACCTTTAAACCCAGCACCCAGGAGGCAGAGACAGGGGGAGCTCTGTGAGTTTAAGACCAACCTGGTCTACAGAGCGAGTTCCAGGAGAGCCAGGACTGTTATACAGAGAAACTCTGTCTCAACACTACTTACTCCCCCCCCCCCCCCCAAAAAAGACAACTTGCCTTCCTAGTCATTCTTCAGCTTATTACAGTAGAGATTAGTCCTTTCTGTCACAACTCACCTATGAGCAAACTTCAGCAGTTAGAAGGTAAAATGATGTGAGGAAATTGTTACACAGATGGCCATGACCTCACATGGATGTTCTGGACAGTATGAAACAGTCAAAAGAGAGAGCGAGTCTGGGAGAATGCTGTAGGGAATGAAGGCAGCAAAGTTTGCTTCTTAATCAGTTGCTCTAAACTGCTAGGAAACATTAAGAATTCACACTATGACTGGAATATTTGGGTAAGCAAGTGAGTATCCCATTTCTAGGTTTCCATTGATTTGTACAAGTAGTCTGATTTTTTTTCCTCATGGTGACTCAGTGAGGAACTCAAGTCAGAGGCAGAATCAGGAGACCTCTATCGTTGTTTTTTGCCTCCGTGGCTCAATGTGTTAACCTCCCTAATCACTACCTGTGTTTTTAATAATATAAACAGAGCTGATGATCAAAATCAACTTAATTACAGCTTTTCTAGAATTCACAGCCTAGCGCTTTGACAGCTTTTCATTGAGTGTGTGCCGTGTACCAGGAGCTCACCTAGCCATTGGGAGTGATTTCTATTGTGGCTAATTCAGATGACTAGTTGCTTAGGAAAGTAGTTATGAACTCACTGGAGAGGGCAGTTCAGTGTAAGCTTTTGGTGCTCTGTATCTTTGTACATAAGATGGTAAGTGGACTTGAGCAGTGTTTGCATGGAGCTCAGAGAGAACTTCAAGGGAAGCCACCAACCACTTTGGTTTGCACCTTGTTTTATTTCTTTAAAGGTAATTGTTAGCAGCTAGTGGTGTTGCACACCTTTAATCCCAGCACTCGGGAGGCAGAGGCAGGCAGTCTCTTGAGTTGGAGGCCAACCTGGTCTACAGAGCTAGTTCTAGGACAGCCAGGGCTATTAACACAGAGAAACCCTGTCTCAAAAAACCCACACACATACAATAAGTAATTATTAAAGTTTCTTTAGAGTAATCTTTCATTCTAGAAACAAAAGCAATTACAGAGTCAAAGCTAAGATGTGGTGGCATTTGATCAATGTCCATGGAGGTAACAAATACTTCTACTTGCTCTGACAGATGCTATCGAGCTAGTCCTTTTATTTTAGTGCCTCCTGGTTTTGTGCTAGTGTATGTCAGGCTTTTATCTGATTCAGTATTATTTGTGGGGAGGATAAAAAACATGGTCTATAGAGGCCTGTGGTCTTGATTCAGACCCCAGTTTGTCTGCCACTCATTGTCTATACTGAGGCTGGAACACTTGTCCCTTGAGAGTTGTTTGGCAGGGCAGTGCCAAGTTCTGTGCCTAATGATACACACACTGAGTGTTCAGAAATAAATGTCAGTCGTCATATGGAATGTAACATTGAGACAAGATCTTTATTATCTAAAAACTAGGAGTCTTAACTTAATAGTATCTTAAAGAATGATGCACGTGGAATACAGTCTGGACATGCAGAGCAACATGTCTGTTGCTTTGCATTTAAAAGGTTAGTTTTTCTGCAAACTGGTCAATTGTTAACTGTAAGTGCTTTCTTTGTTCACCTACCATATGCCAATATTATTTGTTTTTTAGAGGAAAAAAGCTTGTGTTTCTTTGGCAATATAATACTTGTTTTAATTAAAATATTTTGTTAAAGTTGATGCAACTGAGATTTAGTGTAGACTATTGAAGATCATCTTGACTATGCTGGCAAACTAAAGTGAATGCAGTACTTGAATAACCTGTGTAAAAGCAGAAGTGTTTTACAAGGGATTTTCTTCTAGTAGATACTAAAATTAAGTTGTATGTACTTGAAAATATCATCCTCTTTGTCAGTGATGGTTAGACAGTTTGCACTATGTACACTGAGCTTTAAATTGAACAGCCTTAGAGAAGTGACACTCACATGAGCCTCTGGTACTTCCTCTTTGGGTGTCTGGTGGTGTCTAGAGACACTGGTTGCTACTGCTGGGCACTGATCCTGGAATGTGATAAGTAGAGATTAGGAGTGACCCTACATGTCTAGTGTGCACAGTGTGGCCTTACGATAGTTCTCTGGAGTCAGTAGCATTAGTGCTGGGAAGCTACCGGTTACCCCATTGTACTTCTCATAGCTGAAAACCCAGTCAATGTGGAGTCTCCAGTCTCCAGCTTGACTGGAGAGGGTATCACTATACTAACACGTGAGTGGGAAATGAGGTACAAGCAAGCCATTGGATGTGTTAAATTAATACAAAGGTTCAAGTTGTGCCTGTCTTTTGTAGGTGTTTGAAGAATCTGGTCACCTTTACAAATGTTGTTCCTGAGTGGCATCCACTCAATGCTGCCCATTTTGGTCCATGTAACAGTTGCAACAGTAAATCACAAATAAGGAAAATGGTATTGGAAAGGTGAGTTTAAATTACGTACATACAATTTTTAATACAGTGAAGATGGGTTCACATTGTTTTATGTGTTGGAAAGGGAAATAGTGACTACAACTTACCTCTCAGAAATTAGAGTGAACGCATCCTTATGAACCACCAAACACTATCATTTTAAAGAACTGACTGGTAGGCAAGCTGTTCCAGGGGAAGTGCCACAGTTAGGCTGCTGTGAGATTGGCTCCTCTCTCGTAGTGTCCATCCCCATCCCCCACTTTGGGTGTCTTAAATTTTTTCCTGTCAAATGCCTGGTCATAGAGTTCTAGATTTTCTTGAATTTCAAGAACTAAGATTCAGAGTCATGTTAGTGCTGTGTGTGTGTGTGTGTGTAAACTTTACATTTATTTTATATACATTGGTGTTTTGCCTGTATGTCTGTGTGACGGTGTCAGAAACCCTGGAATTGGAGTTATAGACAGGTGTGAGCTGCCGTGTAGATGCTGGGAATTAAATCTGGACCCTCTGCAAGAGCAGCCAGTGCTTTCAACTGCTGAACCATCTCTCCAGCCCCGCCTTGTGTGTCTTAATGTCTGTTTTTTTTTTGTTTGTTTGTTTTGTTTTTTGTTTTGTTTTTTACGAGACAGGGTTTCTCTGTATTGTTTTGAAGGCTATTGGTCCAGCCCGGCCTCGAACTTACAGAGGTCCACCTGCCTCTGCCTCCCGAGTGCTGGGATTAAAGGCGTGCACCACCATCGCCCGGCCTTACTGTTTGTCTTCCAGATATCAGCCTGCTGATTCTTCATCATCTATCTCATAAGCTTTTTGCTGCTGTTGAGCAAGTGTTTTCATTGTATTTGTGAGCTGTTGCTTTGTTCTAAGTGGTTGCTGCCTCTGGTGGGTAGAGACTGGGGAGGTGTTAGACATGGGCTCTTCACAGTGAACAACCCTGTCCACTCAGGTGTCCTTCCAGCTCAGGCTGACTGCACTAAAGGGATGAGCTCTAGCGTGATGTAAGAAGCAGCCAGTGATATTAACCTCTGCTGCCTCAACTCTGCAGAAGTTCCTCAGAATATTCCTAAAGGGTTGTTCTCATTAAATTACTAGATTCCCTTTTAATAGTGCTGGAGCCTTGCATTGAAATCAGGCATCTGCCTGTCTCATCCTCCTTCTAGGCTTCCAACTCAGACCTTCAGATCTAGATGCTGCACTCCCCACCCCAGTCTGTTTTGCTTATGGGCCTTTTTGTTTTGCTTTTAGACAATCTTGCTATTGGCCTAGGGTAGGCTCAGAGTTACCATTCCTCTGCCTCCCTTGGCAAGTGCTGGAATTACAATCAGCTGGTTCTGCTCTCTGTAGTGCTGTAGGACTGGGGCTCCTGTGTCTGATGTGACTCCATGTTTGCTCAGGTGTTTTCATAGCCTTCCATGTGAGTACTTACATGGTCTAAACCAGGACTGTGTTTGCATTGTTGATGTACACATGCCATTCCCTGTCTGGTCACACAGTGTGCATAGTAGCAGGTTTTGCTCTTTTCATTTGCTTTGTTTCTTCACTGAATTTCTTAAATGCTTCAAGTCTGTGGGTCCACACCATACTGGCCCTTTTTTACTGGAAACTTTGTTACCTTCAGTCCTTCTCTCCAGTTTCCCTTCTCTGGCTTTTCTCTGAGCCTGCTACACAGGAGTGCTCTCCAGACACAGTCTCATCCCCTGCTGTAGCCTCACCCCTACACTGCACAGCATCGGTTGCATGTAAATATTGAATGTCGGAGACTGTGGACAATGAGCTGTCCTTGTCACTCTACCTGCTGTGTGGCATTCGTGTCACTGTTTCTTCCATTCTTCTTTGCTAGGTAATGTTTCTCTACCCTGTCTCATTGTCCTGTCCCATCCCCCTTGAGACAGCTTCAGATTTGCTCCTATCTTTGTCCTTTTTGACTACTTCACTGCTTCCTGACTCAGTAGCATCGGAGTGAGGCAGAGTGGGAAAGAGGAGCAGCTGCCTTACCCAGAAGTCTGTGTGGCCTGGCCACTTGGGAACCAAGAAAGTAAAAGGCAGCAATGCATAGTGGTGTTCTGCTCGTTCCCATGGGATTGCCTGAGCATCTTGGTGTTTGTAAAGGCACCTGATGATTGTATCTTTCTGTTTTCTCTCTGACTAGGAGGTTGAGGATATACTCCTTTTTATTATGTTGTTTGATCTGTTAATTGGCTGCATTGGAACATATACTTTTAAATTATATAAATATGTTGCTTTTACTTATATAAAAGATTTATGCTCTGATCAGCAAATGTTTCCATTAGATACAGTCATGTTTAAACTTAAAATGTTTTAAATTCCAGTGGACCAGTTAATAAGCCAAATTTATAATTTGGACATTTCCTATTTTCTTCAAAGATAAATTAAATTTATGTAAAATTATACTTAAATTTTAAATGACAAGACATTTGTATAAGACTATTTTCTCTAAAATTAGTACAGCTTAACTTGCCGGTATTTAGTAGAACTTACAAACAAATTTTGCACAGATTTTAGGACTAATGAAGAGGAAATTCATCAGCTGGATGTGGTGGCTGGTGCCTTTTATCCCAGCACCCAGGAGGCAGAGGCAGGCATGAGACCCTAAACAAACCGTAATTCAGCCAGTGCCTGGTCTTAGATCACCCACATAATACATACCCATTGGTAAAATCCAGTGGTAAATCATGCCTGCTGGGTCCAACTCCACCTCTTCTCTATAAGTGAGTTGTTTGGAATTCTATTGAGTAAGATGGCATGGATACTGACTGCCTGGGCTTAGACTTGACTTCCTGAGTTATTTATTGAAATGAGCCTGTAGCTCTTGCCACAATCTTGCCACAGACTCAAGATCCATCCACCTTGCCTCAAATTCTGGAATTACTGGCACAGCGACCATGGCCTAAGATTATGTTTGGAGGCTGTCCTGAAACTCCTTCTGTAAACCAGGCTGGCCTCGAACTCACAGAGATCCGCCTGCCTCTGCCTCTGCCTCTGCCTCTGCCTCTGCCTCTGCCTCTGCCTCTGCCTCTGCCTCTGCCTCTGCCTCTGCCTCTGCCTCTGCCTCTGCCTCTGCCTCTGCCTCTGCCTCTGCCTCTGCCTCTGCCTCTGCCTCTGCCTCTGCCTCTGCCTCTGCCTCTGCCTCTGCCTCTGCCTCTGCCTCTGCCTCTGCCTCTGCCTCTGCCTCTGCCTCTGCCTCTGCCTCTGCCTCTGCCTCTGCCTCTGCCTCTGCCTCTGCCTCTGCCTCTGCCTCTGCCTCTGCCTCTGCCTCTGCCTCTGCCTCTGCCTCTGCCTCTGCCTCTGCCTCTGCCTCTGCCTCTGCCTCTGCCTCTGCCTCTGCCTCTGCCTCTGCCTCTGCCTCTGCCTCTGCCTCTGCCTCTGCCTCTGCCTCTGCCTCTGCCTCTGCCTCTGCCTCTGCCTCTGCCTCTGCCTCTGCCTCTGCCTCTGCCTCTGCCTCTGCCTCTGCCTCTGCCTCTGCCTCTGCCTCTGCCTCTGCCTCTGCCTCTGCCTCTGCCTCTGCCTCTGCCTCTGCCTCTGCCTCTGCCTCTGCCTCCCGAGTGCTGGGATTAAAGGTGTGCAACACCAACGCCCGGCTAAGATTGTTTCTTAATTGAAATCTTTATTGCTTGGCAGAAAATGTTTAAAAAGCTCCTGAACTATCCAGAGAACAGTTGTGTCCCTTTGTGGGGCAGTTGGGTTTCTGAAGATTTGTTTCTTTATTGTTCCTTATGATTGTGTTCTGATTATTTGAATTGCAGCTGATTTGACTCAGGTGTTTTCTTATTGTCTGAAAGATTGGAAATGATTCAAAGTGGACTATGGTTTAAAAAATAAGGTTTGCAGACCTTTCTTTTTGTTTGAAACTGACATTGCTGTAGTACAGATTCGGAATTGTTAAATGTGTATGTCTAAGACTTGAGTCATTAGAGAAGTTTTGATGAAACTGACTTTGTGATCCAACTCTTAGTATAAGATATGGCTGTCCCTGGTAGGTAGGGATTGGTACTCATGCTGTCTTTAGATGGCCCAGGGAATATATTCTCCATGCTTTTCCTGAGGTTTATCCTTCCAAAAGAGGTGCACCTCTGTGACTCAGTGCCAATGACTCTTAGCTCCAAGTCTTCTGTTAACTCTAGTTCTAGGTCTGGTGGTTCATTCTGTTTCCTATGGTTGAGACACAGCCTAAACTGGTTCTCACATCTGAGCATCTTCCTTGGCTGACACACCTACATACAGTCAGGGGTAGGAAGAAGCTTGAAAACAAAGTGGGCTCATGAGTTTCTGAGCGGCTGGATGAGACAAGCTGAGGGTATAGAGACTCAGAAGCAGCAAGTAGTGGAGGACACACATTATGTTACTGTTTGTAACTTGTGCCCTTTGTAAAACAGAAACGCTGCCTGGTGACTGCCAGCTGTGGAGGCCGTGACCTTGGGTGTGTTAAAGCACAGGGAATTGGTAGTTGTCATTTAGAACGTCCCTAAGTATGGAAGAAAGACCAAGTCAGGGGTATACTCGATGCTATATTTGTTCAGCACCTGAGGCCCAGGTAAAGGGCTTTGTGAGGTTCCCTTGTGTGGCTGAAACAGAAGGGACCCTATAGAGAACTGAGGTGTACCATCAGCCTCTCTGCAAAGGGCTTGCATAAGCAGCTGCCTGAGAGTTTGTGAATCTGGTCATTCTTTCCCCAGTAATAACGTTTCTGTCCTGTCATGATTTCAAAGCAGCTTCTGCGGCATCTGCTTACATTCAGTTAAAATGTGGTTGTCACTGCAGCCCAGGCTGCAGGTGGAGTTAATTTTGCCTCTTTATTTGGACTCCTTTACCAGCTACTGCCTCAGAAGCCTTAGAAAAAACATGCAATCTGGCAGGTGCTCTTACACGTATTGTATAATTTACTGTTGTTCATATATATATTCATCCTAAAATGTTCATGTGCAGACTCACTGACATTTCTAGATAGACGCATGAGGTTTTAGATAAGTGGCCTCTAGAGATACTTGGAATGGTACCTGTCATATGTGTGAGACCCAGGGAGCTAAATACAAGACTTTAATGGAGAGTCCAAGTCTAAGGCCTGCTTATCCAGCTGTGAGAATCTGTGATCTCTGCGGATCACTGAAAGACATATACTTCATGTCCTAACAGTTGATAGTGTGTGTACTTTATTGGCACATTTTATGGTCAGCGACATCTAGTTGGTAAATTAAGTCAGATATTTAAAATCAGGACAAACCATCTGGTGGTGATGTACACCTTTGCTCCCAGTACTTGGGAGGCAGAAGCAGGTAGATCTCTCTAAATTCGAGGCCAGCCTAGTCTACAGAGAGCCAGGCTATACAAAGAAACCGACTCAGCCTGGTGTTGGTGGTACACGCCTTTAATCCCAGCACTCGGGAGGCAGAGAAAACCCTGTCTCGAACCCCCCCCAAAAAAAACCCCCAAAAAATCCTGACTCAAAAACAACAACAACAAACAAAACAAAGCACCAGGACAAAAATTGTGGTAATATAGGCAGTTTACAGAACTTTCAGGCTTTATACTCTTGGTCACACCTGGTCCAGGCTGCCATTTGAAGATTATTATATTTTAACTTTACTTTTATTGTTCTGCTTATTTGTTTTGCTTTCCTGTTGTCTGTTTCTTTGTTGTGTTTCAAGATAGTTGCATTGTGTAGTCTAGGCTAGACTTGGAACTTGATGAGTTCTCTTGAGTCTTGAGATAATAAGTGAGTGCCAGCATATCAGGCCCTTGCTGGTTGTTGGTTTTGTTTTGTTTTGTTGTTTGTTTGTTTGTTTGTTTTGGAGACAGGGTCTCTTGGCTGGTGAAACAGGGTTTTACTTTGTAGCTCAGGCTGGCCTCAGACTCAGGTTTTTCAGTTTCAAGGATGTACTTACACTCTCACAAGATAATTGATGGGGTAATTTACATATCATTCATTGTCAGTCTGGATAATCTACAGTTTGGACATTGATTCAAATCCATTTTCAGCTGAATAAATTTTGATAAGTTAAGGAAGTTTTGACATCTGTTTAAATATTAAGATTAAATATTAGGGGTACCCACCACTTCTTAAACCCCAGGAGTTTTGTTACCTTTAATTATTTGAGACCCATTTATAGGTTTGTTCCTAGTTTGATGTTGCTATAATAGTAAAATGTATTTTTGAAATGATGAGCATCTTGTAGTTTATAATAAATCTCTTAGTGTGTTTCATTTTTTTCCTCTACTTACATACAAATTAAGTTTTTCATAAGTGTAAATTTGAATTTAGTGGATCTCCTTACTTCCTGAGTTAAGGGAGAAATTGGCCAGCTCAATGTCTGAATATCTTAGGTATAAGATTTTCACTTACTACTTTTTCTACTTCACAGAAGTGATTGATTTGGTCACCTGATACCAGAGAAAACCTAAAGGAGCTGGACTTCGCAGCATAGTGCTTTGAGCTGCTGGTAGAGCAAGTTTTGTTTAGGGTCTTTGTCAGTCTTCCAGCATACTGGCTCCCAGCTGCTGGTGGTACCATTCCAAAGGGTTTAGTGTCACGTGCTTCTTAGAGCCACTTCTCCCTTTCTAAGTAGGCACACATCTGGAGGAGCTAGAGCAGAGTTAGCAAAGCACAGCTAGCCCTGTGTGTGACTGGATGGTCTTCTGAATGGCAGACACATGGCATGAAATTGGTTTGACTTGTGCCTCTTTTCCACAGAGCATCGCCCATATTCATGCTGCACTTCGTGGAAGGCTTACCTCGGAAGGATTTGCAGCACTATGCATTTCATTTCGAAGGTAGTCTTTATCAAGTCACATGTGTAATACAGTACCAAGCAAATAACCATTTTATAACATGGATTATAGATGCTGATGGTAAGTGCTGAAAGGTTTTATGATACTGATTGTGGGAAATAGAGCCTCATGAGTTTGTTTTGTTGTAAAAACAGACTTCACCTGGACTTCTTTTTTTCTATCTTCTTTGTCTTTAATTCCTCTGCCCCTCTTCCTCTTAAAAAAATGCCATGTTTTGGAGTATCCTTGGTAATTTTGTGCCATGTATCTCTAGGTTTACCTATTTACTCTTTGTTGTATTTCTTTTCTTTTTTTTTTTTTTTAAGATTTATGTGTTTTCCCTGCATGTATGTCTATGTGAGGATACTGGATTCCATGGAACTGGAGTTACAGACAGTTTTGAGCTGCCATGCTGGTCCTGGGGGCTGAATCCAGGTCCTCTGGAAGAGCAGTCAGTGCTTAACCACTGAGCCACCTCTCCAGCCCCCTCCTTGTTGTATTTCTCACTTCATGTGTTGTTTTTGTAGACAGTTCCTCAGTATGTTTCCCAACCTGGTCTTTTTCTAACTTACCCATCAACAGAACACTTGTACCCCTGGTGTGTGGAGTATGGTTCGTCCATTGAGTTTTTTGTGTTAGCCATTGTTCTTTTCTTACTGTGTACCTCCCGTGCCAGACTGGAGCATTTGTTAATTCAGCACACCTATACAAGTACACTGTTGCCCAAAGGCTCCTGATCCACACTTGGTGCGTACCATCTGTATGCGTTAGTTAAGTGTGTGACTGCCAATAAGTACCTGCCATTGTAGCACCATACAGAGTAGTTTCTCTACCTCCAGACAAATACACTGTCCTCTACCTCCGCCCTTCCTCAGTTCCAATGCTTTCATCTCAAGTGCTGCAGTACAGCAGTAGGACTCTTTCTACAACGTTAAATGGCTTCAATTTTATACATGGCAGCCTTTTCAAGTGCACTGGTTCTGCCTAGTAATGTGGACTTCGTGTTCTTCCAAGTCTTTTCAAAACTTAACACTGCAGCTCTCAAGCGACATCCCATTGTATCTGAATACTGAAGCTTAGGTACATTCACCACCTAAGAAGACATCTTGGGAGCCAGGGAAATGGCTCATTTAGCAAATTGCTTGCCATGCTACAGGAGTACCTAAGTTTTAGTCCCAAAACCCACATACAAAAGCTGGGTGTGGCGATACACACTTGGAAACCCAGAGCTGGAGAGGCAGATCCCTGCAGCTTGCTGGCTGGCTGGCTAACCTAGCTTCTTAGCAAATGAGAGACCCTTTCTTCAAAATAAAGGTGGACCGTGCCTAAGGAATGTCATCTGAGGTTGTCTTCTGGTCTGTACCCTCCTAAGTACATACAATAATAGTAATAATAATCATAATAATAAAAACCATCTTGATTGTGTTTGCACAAATATGAGTAACTGCTTAAACATCTACAATTACATACAAACTGTGCAGTCTGTTTGTGTAAATACCAAGGAGTTTGGTTGTTAGATCAAATGGCAGTTCTGTTTTGTGAGAAACTTAGGTGCTGTCTTTTACATTCACAACAAGCAGTGAGGAGAATTCCTGTTGTCCCTAGCATTGCTGGCGCTTGGCAGTGGTGAAGACTTTGGCCATTCCAGTAAATGTGTGTCTCCTTATATGTGCATGCATTGTGCCCACATTATACTAATTATGCACAACAGTGGGTTTCTTTGTGACATTTTTGCCTGTATTCAGTGTGCTGGTAGTATTTTAATCTTGTTTTTAATTTTTCTCTTTAAGGGATTTGGAGAAAAAAGTCTATTGGGTCTTAGACCTCTATTTGTTCTTAGTCACTAATTTGATACCTTAGAAATTGTCATCTAAATTAGTCTGAAGCACTGCTGCAGAAAAGACTTTTCTCCTTTTATATCCTCCCTGTTCCCTGTTTCTCAAATTTAGTGGGTTTTTTTTGTTTTTTTTGTTTTTTTTGGTTTTTTGTGGTTTTTCAAGACAAGGTTTCTCTGTGTAGCCATGCTGTTCTGGAACTCAGAGATCCCAAATGCTGGGATTATTTAAGGTGTGTGCCACCACGCCTGGCCCTTCTTGATAGAACCTTTCAGCTGTGTGAAAGTGAGTTTTTTGTGTGGGCTCTTTTGAAGATGTCTCTAAGCATTCTGTCATACTGTAAAAGAGTGCTGTGGGTTGTAACATCTCCACTGCTGCAACTGTGATGTCTAGAGTGACTTCACTACTGTGATCCAAGGGACAGGAAATGTGTTAGCATGCACATGTTATTTCACTACACCATGCTCTCTTAGTTCACCGCATTTGATACCATAGATAGAGTAAGCTGTGTGTTTGCTTTGTCACAATTCCCTTAGTAGTTATCGAGTAGCCATGGCTCATCTAGACTTGTAGTTGTTAGGTTTTCTCAAATTATCATGTGGCATAACTTAAATGTAAGTAAATATGAATGACTCCACCTCCCTTTAACACCCCCCTCACCCTACCCCTGATATCGTTCATCCATTTTCTTTTCTTTCCAGCCATGGTTTCTGTTTGCTTAATTTTTTTATTGTAGCAAAATGGATATAATATAAAAATTTTCCATTTCAATATTTTAAGCTTATAAAGTTCATTGGGGTTAACATATACAGTCCTATAAGTCCATCACCAGCATCCAGGGCAGCAACTCTCATAACTAAAACATGCTGTGTTCACTAGATACCAGCTCACTGTTCTATGTTCCCTGGCTGTTGTAGCCACTGTTCTACCTTGGGTCTCTAAATGTCACTGCTCTGGGCTCCTCGTGCAGGTGGAACCAGAGGATTTGCCTTTTGTTTCTGGCTTATTTCACATTTTCAAGGTTTCTTCATGGTACAGTGTGCCAAGTTTCCTTCCTTCCTCACCCTGAGTAGTGACCCCATTAATGTGTTCGTGAGCACTGATGGGCTGACTCTTAAAGCCTCTGGTGTCACTTCTCTGGGGTGTCTACTCAGAGTGTGTTCCCCAAATGACTAGATTATTTCTGTGCCACTTTATAATCCTACCAGCATCACACAGGGTTCCAGTTTTTCCACAGCCCTGCCAGCATTCATTACTTCCTGTAAAACAAAAACAAAAATGGCTATCTTTCTAAAGTGTCCCCTTTTATCTTCTCCTTTAAGGAGTAGTTTAAACTAATTGCTTCCTTATCTCCTATTCTGTGTGCTAGTGTACTTCATATGTCCTTTTCCCTACCACACCTACCATATCCCTGAAATTGTGCAAATGGAAAGGACTGCCATTGACCAAGCTGCCATATGATGACCTCTGAGCCCATTCCCTGTGGAGCTGCAGGGTTTGATCTGCAGCCTTTTCAGTCCTTAAACTTGTCCTTTGCCATGAACATGGGACACTTTGCTCTTTTCTGTTGGGTATATTAGGCAGTTCTGAAGTTAAAGTGATTCCATTGTGATGTATATTTAATAAAGAATGGAACGTATCCAGCAGATCTCCCTGTATTTTCAGATTTCTGCATTTTATAGCCTGTAACTTCTGTGATCAAATGAAAACTAGCTTCTGACAGAGTAGAGACAAGGAGAAAGAAGGCTTCACGGTGCTCCTTTGGTGGGTGCCGAGTGACAGCAGTAAGGAAGGGAGAATGGTGTTGGGGAAGGTCTCACCTGTGACTTTGTTTCTTATTTCCCAGGCAGTTGGCTGGAGTGTGATGACTTAAAGGGTTCCTGTGCTAAAAGGCACATGACATTCGAAGTGCCAGCATCAGAGATACATATTGTTGTTTGGGAAAGAAAGTCCCAAGTACCAACTGAAGAAGCTGCCTGCCTTCCATGCACAAAGTCGAGTGCACAGCCTGAGTCAGGTGAGGAGCAGCCAGCTTCGCCAACACTGTGTTCTGTGGGTGGGGCTGCCACCTCAGAACCCTCAGTCGCCAGCCCCACATATACGCCAGTCGCTCCTCAGACTCTTCCAGAAGTCCAAGCTGTAGCTCATGGAGATAGTGTACTTTCAGGAGCAAAAGGCTTCGTTGAAGCTGCCTCTGTTTTTCAGGTTGACTTCAAAGATTGCCTATTGGAAGATAAACCTGTGGCAGAAAGTGCGGAACTTGTCAGAGCACTTTCTTTGCGACCAAAAGACTCACTGATGACTTCCTTACTGTCTAACCCATATGAAGGAAAGCTAGTCGCCCCACCAGTTGTGAGCACAGACCCGGAGGCAGTACCGTCACAGGCAGGAGACACTGTAGTTCCTAACCCTGTGACTGATGCCCCTGTTCCTGTTCCTGTTCAGGAGTTGAAGTCCATGGTAGCTGAGAAGGACACTCAGATACAGTTGCTGTCACAACCTGCCAAATCTCAGGCATCTAATTTGAGAAAAAGAGAAACTGCAGCGTCTTCTAAAACGGTAACAACCAGCTCATTACAGACTCAGCCTCGGAAAGACGATCAGAAGAAAGCTTTCGTGGGAAGTTGGGTGAAAGGGCTGTTAAGCAGGGGTGGTGCATTTATGCCACCCTGTGTTTTGGCTCAGAATAGAGCGGTAACTGACCTGCAGCCCTCCGTTAAAGGAGCCAATAATTTTGATGGCTTTAAAACGAAGAATACAAACAGGAAGGCCAAGAGGATGTCTAGGAAGGCTTCTAAGCATGTGGATGAGCTGCCTGCAGGCAGCAGCTCTCCACCTTCAGGCAGCACAGCTGCTCTGCCCCATTCTGGTGGGAACGCCCCTTTAGCCTTGTTGAAGGGGCAAGAAAGCTCACGTGCAGCTCCCCTCAGCAGCAATTCCCATAGCAGTGAAAGTGCTGTCTCTCCAGCAAGCTGTGGAGATGCAGCTGAAGATCAGGTTCATAAGCTTCGGCTTAAGCTTCTTAAAAAACTAAAAGCAAAAAAGAAGAAACTAGCTGCTCTCATGTCTTCCCCGAACCGTGGCACCTCCGTAAGTGACCATTCAGAGCCTGTGTCCAGTTGTGGATCTCCAAATGACTCTGAGTCCATAGAAGATCTGTTGAATGAGCTACAGTATCAAATTGATCTTGCAGACAACAAATCAGGGTGCACCACTGCTCCTGGTGGCACCTCATGTAACAGCCAGAGTCACGAAGAGATTTTAGCAGAATTGCTTTCGCCTCCAGCTCTGTCAGAGCCCTCAGCAAGTGTGGAGTCTGAGTTGAGGTACTTGGAGGTGGGGGACAGCACACCAGCACCTACTGATTTCAGTGCTGTTTCCCAGAACAGCTCTCTGGGACAGGACCATAACTATTGCGGCCCCAAGAAAAACCAGTGTGAAGCTGAGCTACAGTCAGTCACGGACAGTGCCTGCATAAGAGCCTTGAACTTGGGGAGCCCCATGAAGACTGATATTTTTGATGATTTTTTTCCTACTTCAGCACTGAATTCTTTAACAAATGACACATTAGATATACCTCATTTTGATGAATATCTGTTTGAGAATTGCTGAGTATTGTTAACGTTTTAGTTTAACACTGATCACTGCTGCAAGAGAATGTGACTTGTGGGTAGCGCCGGCTGAAATGCACACCCTTGTGTTCTAGCCATGAGGAAGCTGTAAGCTACTGAGGTCTCCTCTGGGTCTACCTGTGAAGCATGGGACCTACTGTAAATTAAAACCCTCAGCCTTGTTTTTGTCACTGTCACTTTGTGATTATAGGGTAGTAGGTTGTATACTTGGCTCCATTAAATTTCCTGATTTTAAGATTTATGTTGGGGCCTGGGGAGATGCCTCAGGTGATAAAGTACTTGCTCTGTAGGCATGACGGCCCAGGTTCAGTTCTAGAACCACTGTGAAAGGCCAGACATGGCAATCAATGCACAACTGGAGTCCCAGGTCCCAGGACCCAGGAGCTTGCTGGCCAGCCAGTTAAGCCAAATTGATGAGCTCCAGTTGCAGTGGAGACCCCATCTCTAGGAATGAGATGGGCACTGACATTGACCTCTGGCCTCTAAACCATGCACGCGTATCCACACAAACATTTACCACAAATAAAGTACCTTTTGAAAACTGTTTAGTTCAGGAAAGCCCTAGTTTATACAAACGATTTGTGGAATGCAGCATGTGAATGCCTTGGCTTCTGATCAACCCAAGCCTGATGCTTCTGTCCTCTCTTCACTAAGGATGATAAGAAGCCCCATCATTAGAACTTGGAGTAATGTGAAGTGAGCAGTGTGTGATGGGTTACAGGAAGTGGTAGTCTATGATGCGCTTAATGTTTATGTTGTCTTAAATACCGTCTTTCTTCCCAACACAGTTTCTACACATACTAGGGTACCTGCTAATCTTGCTGCTTTTAAGAGTAGTCATGCTTACAAGCCAAATTCTATTATATGTGAAGTGATAATTTAAAATTCAGCCAGCCCATGAGTGAGGTGACGGTCAGTGTTTACAGATAAGCAGAATGTGGCTGGTAAATTAGATGGATGAGTTAGAAGTATTGAACTAGTCATCCCCTGGCTCCAGAGTAAGTTGGTTGTTCAAAAGCTACTCTAGCTGGATGGTGATGGCACACACAGCACTTGGAAGGCAGAGGCAGGTGTTCGATGCCAGCCTAGTCTATACAGAGAAACCCTGTTTCAAGAAAACAAAAAGCAAAAGCATCTCTAGTGATTTGAGTTATACTTGAGTTTTGGGTGGCTGGTGATTGGTGGTAAAAACTTGACCAAGGGACTTTGTATTTATTAATTTGTCTCTCATATGTATTCCTAAGTCTTTTTTTCTCTGATTGTATAAATAATGCATGTTCTAAGGAAAGTGTTCTATGTTTTTTTGTTTTGTGTTAAAGCAAGTGTACACCTGTAGGGTCACCCTGTGTGTGGGTCCCCAGCTGACTTTTGACTCTTGCTGTATCACTCTCCCCTTTCTTCAGAGGCAAGGTCTCTCACTGAGCCTGCTACTACTTCCCGGTTCTGATTGACTGACTGTGTGTGTGCGTGTGTGTGTGTGTGCGTGCGTGTGTGTGTGTGTGTGTGTGTGCGCGCGTGCGTGCGTGCGTGCGTGCGTGCGTGTGTGTGTGTGTGTGTGAGCACACGCTCCCCAGAACTTGTTTGCTTTTTGAAATAGCATCTCATATAGCCCAGGTTGTCCTTGTAGCCAAAACTGACCTGGAACTACTATTCCTCTGACCCTTCTACATTCTAAGTTCAGGGTTATCTACTGGGGCCACCATGGCTGGCTCAGTAACTTGAATAACTGCCTAATTACATTGTGTTCCTAACTATTGTACTAATCAGAATAGTCTTGATTTTTGTACTTTTGCTCCAGTTAATAATGCTGCCACAGTTATCCTTGGCAGATGTTGTAGAAATCCAAGTATTATTTGAGGGGAACTGTAAGAAGGTTGGTGTTTTGTGGTCAAAGGGTACACATGTTGAAAGGTATGCTGATAGCTAGCACCATCAGCTTCTCATTCTTGCCAGCACTAGGTAGTCTTGGGGTCATCAGAGGGAGCCCCCTTGGTTTTGTTTACCTTTCTATGATTGCTACGGGATTGAGCATTTGCTCTGTCATGTGGTCAGTTGAGTTTCTGTGTAGGGTTGCTTGCTCAGCCCTGGCTTGTTTGTTCCCACTCACAGCTTTTACCGGTAAGTACCAAGCACTTGCATGATATGAGGTGGTGAAATGAAAGCCTTGGGCTTCACGAGGAACTTCCACACAAGGTCAGTGGTCAGTGGTGTGGGAAATACGTTCCGTTGATTAGTGATAGTTTCGGTAGTCAAGATCCGTCAACTCATTACAAAGATAACTTATTCATCACTGCTTTAGAGCAAGTTCACAACTGTGTTCTTGCGCCTTATTCATTCTCAGTATTGATTCTGTGTTTGCTAACATGGCCAGCCGGCCTGGTATTGGTGGCGCGCACTCCTTTAATCCCAGCATTCGGGAGGCAGAGGCAGGCGAATCTCTGTGAGTTCGAGGCCAGCCTGGTCTACAGGGTGAGTTCCAGGACAGCCTCCAAAACAATACAGAGAAACCCTGTCTTGGGGAAAAAAAACCAAAACAAAACATGGCCAGCAGTACTCCAACTTAGTCTGGAACAAAACTTCTGGGACACCAGTTTTTGTTTTTTTTGTTGTTGTTGTTTTGTTTTGTTTGTTTTGTTTTGTCTGTTTCTTTGTGTAACAGCCCTCCCTATCCTGGAACTAGCTCTGTAGACCAGGCTGGCCTGGAACTCAGAGAGAGCCACTTGTCTCTTGCCTCGAGTGCTGGGATCAAAGGCATGCGCCACCATTGTCAGGTGGGACACTTTATTTTTTTATGTAAGGCACCTTATATTGGCCTTTGCTTAGCTCAGCTCTGTGCTTGGCCAAAACACCAAATGTTGCCATGATAGAAACAAAACCCTTGGTTACAGTGTGAAGTTGAAGTGGGCTTCCGGAGACTTGATTTCTGACCTCCACAGGGAATGTGGATCTGGGGCACATGACCATGAAAAGCAAGTAATGATTTCTAAGGCTACCCTTCCGGGCTCATGCTTCCCAGCACTTGGTCCCCAGCTGATGGTAGCATCAGGGAAGTTATGAGACTTCAGGAGGTAAAAGCCTTGGGCTTTTTAAAGCCCAACAACCTTCCAGCCCACTCTGCTTCCTAACGATCAGTGTGACCACCTCCTCATGCCCCTGCTCCCATGCTTGCTGCTGAGTTAGGCTGTATACCCTCCCACTGGGAGCCAAATCTGTCTTTAATTGCTCTTTGTCAGGTGTTTGTGGCCATGTGCACACAGTTACCTCTAACTCCAGCTTCGAGGGAGCCAATATCCTCTCCTGGCCTCCGTGTGCACTACACTCACTTGTACATACCCATCTGTCCACCCGTAGGAGGCATGGAGGTCCTTGTGCTCACAGATAAGCACTAGGGAAACCAGGATTGTTAAACATGTCTCCTCAAAGGGAAAGATGTATAACCTGTTTTTCCACTGCTGTCTATGGCCAGGCCACACCTGGCTTCCCCCAGACCCTTGTCTTCACCCTGCTTGTCTAGCCAAACTACAGCACTGTTCTTTCCAGACCCTTCTCACAGCATTGTGGACCTTGGGTCTGCTTCCTTAATCTGTAGACCTATCTTTATGGAGGACATCACTTGTACTCTACAAGAGTTTGATGTTGTCATGTCTTAAGCTTTGTTGTGCACATGGGATTGAGTTCACTATCACTAGGAAACGTTTCCCAAATTGTGCTGTGCGTAAATACGCCTAAAGTAAGCTACCCAACGTCAGGCCAATACTGGCTACTGTTGGAGCGGATTTCCTTCGTGCCTCCCCTGGACCAACACTGTGGGGTTTGCGGAGATCCCCAACACCTACCCCACACCAAAAGAGCAGGACAAACAAACCCTAACCAAACAGTGGAAACTGACTCAATTCCAATGAGGGATGTCATTGAAGGAAGCCAGAAAGCAAGGAATGCAAATCAGTATCTGCTGATGTAAATCTCCACAGAAGTCACTCTGAAAGGGTCGCTGTTAAAGCCCTTCTGATCCAGTCACTCCATAGTGTAACAAGGACACATTGTGTTAAACCCTCAAGAGAGCTCTTATTGTCTCAAGTCTTTTATTAACAGCTTTAGTTTAAAAAAAAAAACCAAACTGGCTTTTTATTCAGATTTTTGTTACCTTAGGAACCTTCATATTATTTTCCAAACCTAAAGGAAAATCCAGGACACTGAGTCCCCCTGGGGAGGGAGATGCCCCTCCCCCAGGACCTCCTTACCTTCCTGCTGAGAGTCAGGGAAATTGCAAAGCAGCTGATAAAACTTTTCCCAGATATCTCAGAGTGTTAAGGACCACACTGACTTCGAGCTTTGGACTGGAATGTTTACAGCCTTGGCTTCACTATGGTGCCTGCTCTCCTCTCAGTCCTGAGTCTAGTAATACACCCCATAAAACTGCTTTGCAGTCTCTTTTTTAATCTTAATCGTGACACATTGCTATAAATACACAATCTGAGTTATGTAGCAGCCACAGGATCATACACAGCCGTAAAGTGATGTTGGATTTTAGGGCAGCTTTCTGGAGTCCATCCCACGTCTTAAGGGGCATGAGCTACCCTGTCTTGACTGTCTAAATCCGTAATAAACTCATCCGACGTTCTTTTCTGCTGTGTAGTCAGGGATTCAGTTTTCCATGAATGAGAGCCCTCTTGGGTGAAGCTGTAGCCATGGAGGCATTGAACACTTGAATTTGACATGCCTATGGCCTTTGTTAGAACCCTGAATACAAACTAAATAAAAGCCAAGACTCAAGCTTTGGAGGCTAAAAAGTATGTTTGGGAAGGTTGTGGTTCTCTTGGATGGTAGAACAAAATTCCGTCACAAATGTGTTTGGGGAAAGTCCTTAGCTTCCCATTTGGAATTTTCTCAGAGCTCCACAAAGCTTGACTTTAATAAAGCTTAACTTTTTTTTTTTTTTAAGATGGGGTTTCTCTGTGTAACTTTGGAGCCATCCTGGCACTTGCTCTGTAGACCAAGCTGACCTGGAACTCTCAAAGATCTGCCTGCCTCAGCCTCCCGAGTGCTGGGATTAAAGGCGTGCACCATCACTGCCTAGCAGTTAAATTTAAGAGGAAAATTAATTTTAAAAGGGAGCAGGACCGGGACGTATAGCTCAGTTGGTAGAATGGTTGCCTGGTGTGCATAAAGTCCCGGCTTCAATCCTAGCTGGACATGGCTTGGGCAACAGGAGACACTCTTAGAAGAACAAACAATAAAGCGAGACTTTGAGAAACCCACACGAGTGCTCTCAGTGTTTTTTTTTCCCAGCTGTCTCTTACTCTCAGCCCTTGTGTTTAAAATGTCTTTCAAAAAAGACGTCCTGGAAGTAGGTTTTGAGTTCTAGTAGAACTTCATGACAAACTTAGTGGTACACATTTGTAACCTCAGCACTCAGGAAGTAGAGGCAGAAGGCTCAAGATCATTAATTACATAGTGAGTTCAAATTTAGCCTAGCCTTTTAAATTTCTCTGTGTAGTCCTAGCTGTCCTGGAACTTGCTCTGTAGACCAAGCTGGCCTCAAACTCACAGAGACCCACCTGCCTCTGCTCCCCGAGTGCTGGGATTAAAGGTGTGTACCAAAATGCTCCTGTTTGATCTTGGAGATTTGTTTTACATGCATCAGGAAGACACAGCTCCTGTCATGTTGACTGCCTCAACAGCCTGAATTGTGGGCCTCATGCACACCACCAATCACATGCAGTTTTGTCTCTCTCCATTACTTCTGTACTGATCGTGTGCCATGCATGTCCTCAGTGACTTCATATTCTAGGGCTAGCCAGCTTGCTGGTTTCCTGGTGGTACTGCCATTCATTCAAGATGGCTCAGCTGTTCAAGTGAGGCAAATAGGGTCAAGGTGGGAAGGTCACATCAGGGAAAGGATCCTGGGGACTGGGAGGCAGCAGGACCCTGGAACCTATAGTCAGTGCATGTAACAAGCAAATTGTGTGGAGGAACACAGGCTAAAGCTGTGTGCTCCCCTCAGGTGTTGGAACGGAGCCAATGAGATCATCACAATGAAAGGTAGGCCCCACACTATGGGGCTTGGAGCCTCTGGTAACCATGTTCAGTTTCAAGATGGAAACTCTGCCTTCTCAGCCCTCCTAATGCTAGGAATAACAGATATGGTGTGAGAGAAGATTTACAGTGAAAGCTGGGCTGTGGTGGCTCATGGCTATGATCCAGGCAGAACTCTGTGAGTTCGAGACCAGAGCAAGTTCCAAGACAGCCTGGGCTACACAGAGAAACCCTGTCTCCGAAAAAC